ATCGGTATAAGACCCCCTTGGTCCCTCCCACCACTGTGTTGGTGGCTTTGCTGGGTGTCCTTTGAGACCTCGCAGGACCACCAGGACACAGCCATTGCCTCTCCCCAGGCACTGCCAGCGTTGCCCGGGCCTGGAGCGCTACCTTTGACCAGCTCCTCAGCAAGAAGATGGGGAGGTTTTTGGGTGCTCACGCAGCCATGAGCTCTGTGGGGCTGGCAGAGCACCCAGATGCCTTTGCTGCTGGCCTGGTGGTCCTGCTGGCAGGTAGGATGCCTCCCCCTGTGCCACCCTCCATCAGATAGGATGAGCTCCTCAGCCCACTGCGGGCTCTTCAGGATGGGGCTGACTCCTCTGATGGCTTTACCATTTCCCTGAACATAGAATGGGAATCTGGAGAAATCTGCAAGTTGTCCTGAATTTACCACTGCCCCCCTTTTCCACTCTCCCCAGTAATGTCTACCCAGTGTCATCCAAGGGGCTCATCCAGTTTTGAGTTTTTATTTTCCAGCGCTTCTTTCCTTTGGAGTGAAGGAGTCCACCATGGTCAACAAAGCCTTCACAGCTCTCAACGTGCTCGTCCTGCTCTTTGTCACAGTGAGTGGCTTCATCAAAGGCCACATGAGCAACTGGAAGCTCAGAGAGGACGACCTGCCACAGGCAGCTGCCCAGGAGGCTGGGTATGAGGGGCTTCACTCTCCCTGTGCTGCCTTCAGAGTGGGGCGGGGGGAGTCAGCCCCCCAGTGCTTTATCCCAGGAAACAGCACGTTCTCCATTTCTCCCTGTTGGCAATGTGTCAAAGAGACAAAGTCCTAAGCCCTGCTGGGTTGATGCTGCGGGTTGAGGGGGTTGGATGGACTGTTCAGCTTGACCCCATCCTGGGACCCTATTGCACTGACCTCCCTGCACTGCCTGGCTCTTCTTCCTCCTCCCAGGAACCAGTCCATGGCCAACAACATGACCAGTGCCTTTGGGGTGGGAGGCTTCATGCCCTACGGTTTCACTGGCACCTTGGCTGGAGCCTCTACCTGTTTCTATGCCTTTGTTGGATTTGATTGCATTGCTACCACAGGTAAGGGAGGTGGGAGTGCTGCTCCCTGCTGGCTGGGGGGCTGTGGCAGTGACTGTCCCCACAGTCCTGGGAACTGGTGTGAGGCTGGGAAATGGGCACATTCCCAGCTCTGTGCTGCAGCCACTCTCTCCTGCCCTATCTAAGAGTCCACATGGAATGTCTGGGCTAATCCTGAAGCAGAGGCATTCTCTATCCCAATATCCCTGGGACAGAGAATGAATCTAGTGGTCCTTGCTAGGTCTCTGTGTCCTCTCTTGGGGGGATATAGGATCTGCTCTCCAGCCTGAGCTGGGCTCTTAGCATGCCATGCACTTTAAATGAGCCTCTGTTCCTACAGCTGAGCTTGTCCTCCCCAGGGGAAGAAGTGAGGGACCCACAGAGATCCATCCCCATGGGCATCATTTTCTCCCTCCTCATCTGCTTCCTGGCCTACTTCGGGGTGTCTGCTGCCCTCACCCTGATGATGCCCTACTACCTCCTAGACACCACGAGCCCACTGCCAGTGGCTTTTGAGTACATTGGCTGGAGCAGTGCAAAGTACGCCGTGGCTGCAGGGTCACTCTGTGCCCTGACCACCAGGTGAGGGGTGTCCTCTGATGGCACTCCTGTGGTTCAGAGCAGCTACTGGAGCTGTAACAAATCCAGGAGATATCCCCAACCCCTTTTTCCTGAATTCCTCCTTGCCTTTCCTGTTTGTCCAAAATCCCTTCCACACAAACCCTGGTGTTCCCACCCTGGCCCTTCCTGATCAGGGAGAGCAGCCAAACCCATTGGTGTGCCACTGAAGGAAGTGGTGAAGTGACACCACGTCCAAAAGAGTGAGCTGAGGTGTTCTGGCATGCACAGGGGGCTGCAGACATCTCTTCCCTGACACTGTCCCTCATCTGATAGTGAGGAAGGTGATGATCTTCGTAGGTGGTCTCAAGAAGGTTATGGGCCACAGAGATGAATGGGAGCTCCCTTGGAGGGACAGAAGGCAGGATGGCACCTCCTGGATTCCTCCCCTCTTCTCACCCATCTCCTCCCCTCTCTCCTGCAGCCTCCTGGGCTCCATGTTCCCCATGCCACGGATCCTCTATGCAATGGCTCGAGACGGGCTCCTCTTCAAACCTCTGGCCAAAGTCAGCCGCCGTCAGTGCCCAGTGGTGGCAACTCTGGTGTCTGGGGCAGTGGCAGGTGGGTGAGTGCTTGGGTTACCCCTAACTGTGAGCAGGCCTTGGTGGGTGTCCTCTTTGCCTCTATCTCGGCTGCAGCTGTTTGAGCCATGTCTCTTCACCCAGAGACAGATCTCCTCATGGTGGGTGAGACCAGCTGGCCTCGATGGTGCCCCAGACTCTGGTTCTGCACTGCCAGGCAGGAGGGGACAGGATGCTTTGTACTCGTGACCAAAGCATCACCAGTTCATGGAGGTTCTGTTGCAGTGGCTGTCAGGGGGATGTGGGGAGGTCAGGAGAGTATGACTGAGGTGGGCACGGCAGCACTGCCAGCTCTGCTTGGAGGCTGAAAGGGCTTCTCTTCCTCACAGCTCTCCTGGCCCTTCTCTTGGACCTGAAAGCCCTGGTTGACACCATGTCCATTGGCACGCTGCTGGCCTACTCCATGGTGGCTGGCTGTGTGCTGCTGCTCAGGTGAGATGCTGGGGACAGGGGACAGGGCTCACCCAGCTTCTGACGTGGGCCGTGCCTGGGACAAGGCAGCTGCAGGTTTATGTGCACTGACATCCAGTGTCTGCTCCCCAGGTATCGGCCCGAGCCCAGCCCTCGGGACACTCCTGTGGGGAAGGTCCCCACGGTGCAGCTCTGGTGGAACCACCTGGTCCAGCCACCCGCCCATCCCACCCCTCGCTCCTCTGCTGTGGTGGTCTGGGCTCTGGCAGCTGTAGGTGTGTCTGGAGTGATGGATGGGTTCTACAGGGAGCTGGCCTGGGGGGACCATGGGGGACATCCCTGCTGTAGCAAGGGCTGGGCCTGGTGGAAACCACCCAGCCGCAGATGCAGGGGCTGCCCGGCTCCTTCCTGCCCCCACCCCACTGCCACACAGCTGGCTGCCCCAGCGAGGCCTCAGGAGACCTCCCACTCCCTCTGCTTCCCAGGCTGGAGAGAAAAGCTAAACCCACCATGAGAAGCCACCCAGCCGTGTCCCTGGCTGTCATTTGTGCCACCGTGGCAGCCTGGCAGGGGGATGTGCCCAGCCCAGGGAAGCTGCCCTGACACTGTGGTCCCTCTGCAGCCGCCCTGGCCGGTGCCCTGAGCTGGGTGAGCACTGCTGGGCTGCCCTGCCTGCGGGCTGGGGGTGCCTGGTGCATCACAGCTCTGGCCCTGCCTCTCCTGGGGATCCTGGCAGCAGCTCTTCTCATCTGGAGGCAGCCTCAGAGCCAGGACAAAGCATCCTTCATGGTGAGCACCCAGCCCAGCCCTCGGGATGTACCCAGGAAGAAGGACCTGGGGCACAGAGAGCAGGCAAGTGCTGCAGCCCTGTGGGGAAAGGGTGCCATTTAGGGCTGTCCTCTCAGCTTTAGGTCAGGCACATCTTTGCTGCATCCACATTAACAAGGTACTGCTGGAGGCAGCATGGAACTAGTGGGATTTTCCATAGGAACCATGAGGGTTCTTCCCCCATGACCTGAGGGCTGAAGGGGCACCTTCCAGCTGAGCCCAGTGCCTGCTGAGGAACCAGAGCTGCTCTTCAGTAAAAAGATACCTGGCCTTAACACCTTGGCTTAGTTTTATGAGTGCTTTGCTGCCTCTCACCTCAAATCCTGCAGTACCTCCTGCCCCAGTGCAGGACCTGACAACCAAAACACCCTCCACAAGCATCCCTCTCCAGCACAGGCTGTGGCCTGAGCTTGGATCTCTGAGCCTCATAGCCAGGCTGGGCTTCCCCTTGCCTGTGGACAACTAGCCAAAGCAGCAAAGAGCTGAATTTAGCTGTGGAATTTACCCTTGTGCTCCCTGCAGGTTCCCTGCCTGCCCTTCCTGCCTCTCCTCAGCATCTCCATCGGCGCTGTGCTGCTGGCCCGGCTCAGCGCGGCCGCCTGGCTGCGGTACCTGCTCTGGATGGCTGTGGGTAAGCACGGCCACTCACCAGGCCCCAGAGCTGGCACCAGCCCCTCTGGGTGCTGTTCTGGTGGTTTGAGAGCACTAAAGCAGCTCTGAGCAGTGGTGGGGAGGGAGGAGGTGCTGACCTTGGATGTCCAGCGGTGGTGGGAGCACCGTGTCCTCTGATATGTGCCCAAAGGGGCCAGCACTTGGTGGCTGGGAGGGGAAGGAAGAGAAACAGTCCCTACACACCCTATTCTGCCCTTTCCCAGGTTTCCTCATTTACTTTGGCTATGGGATCTGGCACAGCACTGAGAGCCTCTGGTCTGAAGGGACAGGTCCCCAGGAGCTGCTGGGAAGCAGAGCCAGGGAGGTGCCCCTGGAGCCCCGTGGGGCTGCCCTGTGCCCATCTGCTCCAGGGCAATAAAAGGGGATGGCTAGTTCCTGAGTGCCTGGCTCCCTCCATCCTGTGCCCAGGGGGCAAGGAAGCCCTTTGGGCTGTGGGTCCTGTCCCACAGAGGGGGCCAGCCCTGCCAGAGCTGCAGGAGCTGATTCCCCAAGCCTGGTGAACCTTCCTGAGCAACTCAAATCCTCACAGCAAGCCCCTGCAGGCGGAGTTCTCTTTGGAGAGGATAAAGCACACAAGTGGTTCTGCTGCTGTTACTGGGCTGTGTTTTTGGTTTTTTTTTCCCTTTGAAACCTTTCCCTGCAGCCCCCCACAGACCCCCTTGCCTTTGCCCACCTTGCTCCTTCAGCTGCTCACCATGAGGCAGAGGATTCTTGTGCTGCCCTGACCCTCCATTTCACCTGGGCACCCAGGACCTATCATCCCCCCCATGACTGCCAAGGTACTGCCTGGTCCAGGCTTTCCCCATTTCATAGTGTGCAAGTCCTTTTTCTGCACTCATTTATTCCTCCTCCTCAGTTCCCAGTGTCCCCTTTCCCAGAGTCGGGCACATTCTTCCAATGTCCCACGCAGGATCTGCCTTTGGGGCTCTGGGACGTGGTACCAGGTGTCCAGAGCAGGATCCTAGACCCCATCAGCCTCCATATCCCTCTGTCCAGAAATCCTGATCCCTTCAGCCATAACCAGGCAGGATTTGCTGGGCTTTCCCCTGCTTTGGTGCTACAGCACCTGGGGGAGGCACAGATGATGTGTGGAGCTGAGGATGCCCTGGTGGGACACAACAGGCTCCCCCATTTCCCCCTCTGGCCACCCCATGGAGTTTTGTGAGTCAGAGCTGGACCCCCATCCACATTGCCTTCCTGACTGCCCATTCAGCTGCTGAATTTCTGATTAGGGTCAGCACAAAGGACGGAAGTGGCTGATGCAGTGGCCCTGATGCTGGGAGGGTCCGGGTCTGCCCTGAGCTGGGAGCCTATTGAAATGAAGGAAAAGAGGGAAGGAACAGGAAAATGGGGATCAGCCTTAAGGGCCTCATTTGGAGCTTCCTTGTTGAGTCTTTGTGGTGCCAGCTCCCACCCTTCCCCTTCTTCCCACTGTGTGGGGTGTGGAGCACACAGCCCCACTCTGGGGCACTCCTGCACCAGTCTCCCAAAACACTGACATGGGATTCCTGAGGCTGCTGCTTCTTACAGATCTGCAGTCATTACAGGCAGCAGCACCTTGGCTGGTGCACACACACACACACAAACACACACACACACACACCCACACACCCACACACACAGACACACCACACTCACACACCCGCACACACACACAGACACACCACACTCACACACCCGCACACACACATGTACAGCTCTGGCTAAACAGCCCTGGGGAGGGGACAGGCCTGTGACAGCCCCAGAGCAGTGACTCCCACCACACTCGTGCACCCAGGGAAAAGTGCTTGTGTGCATCCAGCTCTGACCCACAGCCCTGCTGGCAGCATCTTCCCTGATGGGGATGCCCTGCCTCGAGCAGAGGGATGTGACCTGACAAAGCCTGGTACCCCCTGGGAGGATGCTCTGCTCCCTGAGGTGCAGCTCCAGACTCTGTCCAGCTTTTGTGGGAGAAGATGGGACTGGTGGTGCTGCTGATGGGCAGCAGGGATGAGAAGGGCTTGGGGTCTTTGTGGCAGTGAGCTGAGACATGCCTGAGCTGCAGGAGCTGTACCTGGGAGACATTTGCTGAAGGTGGAGGAGGTGCTGGGAACAGGAGGGCATGGGTGGGAGCCCTTCCTGGTGAGGTTAACACCATATCCTCAGTGCCCTCCTCATCCTCCCGGTGCTTGTCCCCATCCTGTCCTAGCGGCCTCCTCATCCTCCTCACGCCCTGGGGCAGCGCTGGTGCTGTTTATGCTCGGAGCCAAGCACTGGGTCAGATGCGGCCCAATGCAAGTCTGCGTGTCCTGGCTGACCCCTTCCAGCCCCAGCCAGCCTTTCAGCAGAGGAAGGGGCGCAGGGACTGCGTGGGTGGCAGACCAGGGTCCCTCTGCAGCCCCACGCGGGCTGGGGAGATGCAGGAGGTGTAAGCGTCCCGTGAAATGCTCCATCGCTGCGCTCCGTGAGGCGCCCCGAGGCTCGGCCAGCCCGGAGCCCTGCCCCGACCGGGGGCACCGCTGGGAGCAGCCCCGGGCTCACAGGGCAGCCCCGGCAGTCCCCGGCAGTGCCGGTGCTACGTGGCGATGAGCGACACCTCGCCGGCAGCCAGGGGGAAGGGGGTGCCGTCCCCGGCGTTCAGCACTCGGTAGAGCAGCTCCTCCTTCTCCCGGCGAGCCTGGTCCAGCAGCTGCGCCTCCTTCTCCAGCGCTCCGCGGGCGCCCCGCAGCTCCTCGGACAGCCGCCTGCGGGAGAGGCTCAGGCTGCCGGGCCGCCCCTGCCCGCACAGCGCCCGGGGCACCGCGGGCTGCCCGGTGCTGCCACCCTGCCTCCCGTGCCCCGCCGCAGTGCCACCCGCGCACCGGCTGCGTGCGACCGTACCTCGCCACCAGCAGGTGGTTCTGAGTGCGAACTTGCAGGTCCTCGTTCTCCTGCTGGAGGGTTTTCACCTTCTCCTCCAGCAGAAGGTTCCTCTCCTCCTGGAAGGGGGTGTGAGGGTGAGGAGAGAGCTGGGAAGCACTTCTGAGCCCCCTGCCACTCCATTTTGGGTGAAATGCTGGCCTGGTGGCATTGCTCCCCCATCCCCCCCACCACGGCAAGAGAGGAAGAGGGCTCCATCTACTTTTGCTCCAGCTGCAGTTTCTGGGCAGAATTTAGGTGGGTAGAGGAGCTGAAAAGAGGAAAGCCCACCTGTGACCCCCCGCTTTCAACCCACCACGGTCTCCAGGTGCAGCAGCTTCTTGTCCAGGCCATGGATTTGCTCGTTCTTCATCTCGATGACGAAGTGCAGGCTCTCCAGCTCCTGCTCCCAGAAGGGGCTGGGGCTCCCGTGCTCCTGCAGGGCCATCACTTGTGTCCAAGGGACCCCAACACCTCCCCGGGGCAGGCTTTGCTCCCCCCTTCAGCTGTCCTGTGCTCCCCTCTGGTTCCAGCCCCACCCTGCCAGTGTCCATCAGAGAGGCCCCTTGGCTTTGGCTCAGCACCCCAGAGCGGGTCCCTCCCTGACACCCCTCCCTGCACCTGGATGTGCTTCTTGTAGTCTGTTCTCAAGAGTGACTCCTCCACCCGCTTCATCCTCTCCTGGAAGGATTTCAGCTGGGAATTCAGTTCCTGAATTTTCTCCTAGGAGAACCAGGGAAAAAGAAGAATAAGAGGTGTCTGGGATTTCTTTCTGAGCTGGGGACTGCTGGGCTGCAGTACCCAAATAACACCAGGGCTGGAAGAGCTGGCGTGATCCCCAAGCACACTGGGGACTGAGGTGACCACTGGAGAACGTGGGGCACCATGGCAGAGCCAGCAGATGGTTCACAAACGCCCCCTCCCCATGGATTTCTCTGCTGGTACCTGTAGGGCTGCCTCAGTCCTGTGGTGGGACTCTGTCAGCAGCAGCTTCTCCTGCTCATGTGCTCCCTGGAGCTCTGTGGGGGAACATGAGCTGAGTGCCACCAGTGTGGGGACACTGGGGCAGCAGGCCCCACCTGAGCCCCACAGCGGTGGAGAGCAGGGAACAGCATCCCCATGACCCCACAGGCAGCCAAAGGGACACGGCAGTAGGGAGGAGAGGAGAGGGGAGCTGCAGGGAGCCCTGCTGCTCTGGCATGCACCTTGCAGGGTTTCCGTGTGCTCTCTCCTCAGGGCAACAAGCTGTTCCTTCAGCTCTTTTTCCTTTTCCACCTGGGAAACAGTTGGATGACAAGTCTTAGTGTAAGGGATGCAGAGCTTCACTGCTTTGGGCTTCCTCACCCTTTCTTAGATGTGTCCTTCTCCCGAAAATGGGAGAGCCCAGCCCAGCATGTGCCAGGGAAGACCAGGCTGGTGACATGCTCCGTGCCAGCTGCTGCCTCCAGCAGCACCAGCCCTTCCAGCTCACCTGGACCTCAGTGTCCTGGGAGATGCTGGCAGTGCCTGCCTGGCCGGCATCCCGCAGCCGCTCCTCCTCCTCCTCCTCCTCCTGGCCTTGGAGGAATCTCGAACTCTCAGTCCACTCCTCTGGCCGTGCTGCCTTCTCCCCGTGCTCAGGAAGCAGGGAGGCATTGGCTGCAAGACAAACACGGCTGAAACAGCCCTGGCTGCCTCCCCGTGGCTGGGCTGCCTGCACATCCTGGGCAGCTGAACCTGCCAGTGCCGTGGGCTGGGTTCAGCACTGCCCTCTTCCCTGGAGAAACACCTCCTTCCATCTCACAGGTCCAAATTAGCCCTAACTGGGATGGTGCTGGCAGGCTCAGAGAGGACACAGAGCTTGTCAGGTCTCCTTTTCTGGGGATGACCTGTCTGACTGGGAGGAGGGGATACCATTGTCTCTGGGATGTCCTGTTTGCCCTCCTGCACCAGCATGCACCTACATCATCCCCATCCTCCTGGGTGACATGCTTGGGCCTGCCCAGTGCTTCCTTAATATCACTCTGAGAAAGCAAAGCAGGGGAAAAACATATTTTTTCTCACCATTCTGTGTCTTCAAGGCCGAGAGCTCCTGGAAAGCCGATCCCCTCTGCTGCTGGGCTTTTAGCTGTCTCTGGCAGAGAGAGATGGGGCTGAAGCAGGGGGGAACAGAGGGGGGCAGGTGGCTGCAGGCAGAGAACACCCTGCCCTGAGCCTGCATCAGCTCTGCTAAAACACAGTCCCTGGGGAGCAGCAGTCCCCAGCCCCCTGCACTCTCCCAGCACCCATGGGTGTGCACGTACTGCCCATCAGGCAGCCTCAAGCTCCTGCCAATTCCCTGCATCCCAGACAGTTCACCGTGTAGCATGCAGCTGGAAAACCTGGGGGATCCACCCCCCCCAACAAGGTGCTGGTGCAAAGTGGGCTCCAGCAGCAAAACTTTTGGTGGAGAAGAGCAGGCAGCACTTGGCAGGGCTCCAGCTTTGGCACTCCCTTGCCGCTTTCCTCCTGTCCTGGGATGCTCAGGTCAGTCTGGTCCCTGGCACCTTGCAGCTCCCCAAACACACGCCTCTGCCAGAGCCTTAGACAGATGGGCTTTGACACAGCTGGAGCAGGAGTGAGAAATGAAAAATAACCATAAATCAGGGCCGATACAGCCCCTGTGCAGGGCTGGCAGCAGGCGAGAGCAGGCGGCGGCCAAGCAATGACCTCAGGAGTGCAGGAATGTTCTGCACAGCCCCGCACTCCTGCCACGGGGCTGAGATAACCCAGAGCCGGGAGCTGCCTCCAGCAACACAGCTCCGTGGGATGCCTTCCAGCCTGCATGGGTTTAATTTAGTCACTTGGAGGGGAGAAGAGGGGAAAAAAAAAAGGAGTGGGTGTATTTTTATCAGTTGCTGAAAGATAGAAGCAAATCTCGCAGGCTGTCACGGCTCGGCCTCGCTGGCGCAGGGCAAATCTGGTGCCCATCACTGAGCTGTGCTTCTGGGTATGGCATAGATGCATGAGGGGTGAGAAAATTCACCTGAAGACACGGTGCTGCTCTCCAGCTCCGGCAGAGCTGTCCCTAAAAACCCCGATCCCTGAGGCAAAACCCCGATCCCTGAGGAAAAACCCCGATCCCTGAGGAAAAACCCCGATCTCTGAGGAAAAACCCCGATCCCTGAGGAAAAACCCTGATCCCTGAGGCAAAACCCCGATCCCTGAGGCAAAACCCCGATCCCTGAGGAAAATCCCCGATCCCTGAGGAAAGCAGCCCTGCTGCCGGCGGGACCCACCTCGGCCCCGCACACGGCCAAATACAGCCCCAATTTGGGAGCCTGGCTTGGGAAAAGAGCAAGGGAAAGCAAGGAGCCGTCCCTGTGTCCGCCCCCGCTGCAGCCCCCCTTCTGGAGCTGGAGGGAGGCTCAGTTCCAGGGAGCTCCGAGCCCGGGGAGCCGCGGCTTTATCTTCCCTTCTATGGCATGAGCAGCCGGCGCTGAACGCGGCCCGGGCGTTCAGGAGGCACCGGCAGAGCTCACAGGGCTGCTCTCCTTGTCCCTGAAAGCGTGGGGTGCCCTGGGATGCTGCCGAATCCTGCAGGTGTCCCCAGGAACCCTCACCTGTCCCCTGACACCCCTTGTGCCACTGGGCATCTCCCTGGTATTTAACGTAGCAGTGTCCTGTGATGGGTTTTGAAGCCGGGGGATGAGGGGCAAGGGAAGAGATGAATGACACAATCGAGGCTCTGCAGTCCTGAGGGCATCACAGGAGTCCCAAAAGGCCTCCTCTCCTAGCCCCACACCCCATATCCTTATTTTTACTGCAATAAAGCAAAGGCTGTGTAGAAGGACCCTCCTGACAGAGGTGTATGACACACACCTCAAGGATTTTGGATGATCTCAGCAGGGTTGAGAGCAGGATGCTGTTACCACCTCCAGGAGGGACCCAAAACCCCCAAACCAAACCACCTCTGCTGCATTTGTCCTGCTCACTGGCATAAGCAATGCCTAAGGACAGAGAGCCCAGGGCTGGTCACCTCCATAGCACAGACAGTGTTCCCAGCACAGACCCAGGGAATCTTCACCTCCCCTGCACACCCCAAATCCAGCAGGATGGGATCTCAGAGCCCCTCAGCTTCTAAAGGAAGGTGATTTGAGACACTAGCACTCAACTCAGAAATAGGTGAAGCAAGCAACAGGTTCACCAGCATCAACAGACAAATCTAAATACTTGTCCTGAGGCTATGAGTGAGGCATCTTCCTACCTCTAGGAGCAATTAAAACAGTGTCTAGAGCTAATTTTAGTCATAAGCACTCAATTGTCCTTTGGAATAAAAGCTCTACCTCTGTGGTGAACAGCAAAATTTGGCTGAAAGCCCTGAAATATGGAGGGACTTTCCAATGTCACTTCCAGAGAAGCTTTGTGGCACCCGAACCTCTGGTGTCACCTGGCGCATTCTGGAGAGCTGGAAAATCATCCTGGAATCCACAGTGTGTGCAAGGAGCAGACTGGGAATTGCTCCAGCTGGAACAGCTTTGGCCAGGGGAAGAAGCAGCCTGATACATCCTGCAGGTGGGGGCCATCCACAGCGTAGCTTATCCTGTAAGTTCTTGGAAACCTCTGCCAAAAATACCTTCCAGCTATGAAAAAAACAAAAGTATCTACATTCTTAGAACTAAATATTTCTAATAGTCTGGAGCAGAACTGTTTATGGATGGATTAATAGGGATTTCCAACAGGACCTGAGTCATCTCCAAGGGTTCTGAGCTGGGGAGCACCAGTGCAGAGCTGCTGGCACAGTGTGGGCAGCCGAGGTGGCTGCAGCCTCTGCTTCAGCTCTTAGCTTGAGGTGGGGTTTTGGACTGTATTTTTCTTCCTCTTTTCCTGTTTTACAAGTACGTTAAGCAATTCAACCACGCAACCTAGCAAAGGAAATCACAAAGAGGCAGGAAATGAGTATTTAAATCCTGATTCTGCTCCTGGGAAGGAGGCTTTGCTTTGTGGCTGTGGAGAAGGGGGCCAGGATTTGGTCCATGACTGTAACACCTCTCAGGACCTGCAGCAGATGCTCAGTGCTGCCAGAGCAATGCTGGCGCAGGTCCGTGGGACCTGTCTTTAACCCTGCTGCTGTATTTCCTCCAGTGATGGTGATGGTTGTGTTAGGAGGTGATTATCACCTCTCCTACAGTCAGATCTGTGCCGCAGACCAGAGGCAAACACTTCACACTGTTGACAGCCCCGAGTTTTGCATTCTGGCCCTTCCCTGACTCCTGGTGCTAAGTACAGTTCCCAGCACTTCAAAATAAATTCACCCCAGCCCTGGAAGGTGGCCAAGCCTCAGCCCCGACCTTTTGGGAAGGCAACTTGGCCTCTCTCACGCCAGGAGCGTGACCAAAGCGTGAGTGGCCAAGCACGGGTGGATGGAGCTGAAGGGGAAGGAAACCCAGGGGCAGCGCTGCAGCTCAGGGCTGGGTCCTCTCTGTGCCTCCCTTATCACCTTGCTGCCCGCAGCCTGGTGCCAGGGAAGGATGAGGCTGCCAAGGCGCCTCCCCCAGGGCACACAGTGGCTCCTGGTATGTCCTCCACCCACCAGACCCAGCCCAGCACCAGCTCCTCAAGGTCACCTCAAACCCGGGACTGGCCTCAAAGGCCCCTGCAGCCCCCAGCCCCATTAGAGTCCCCAGCCCCATGACCTGCACATGGCTTCTGGCTGGGCTTGCCCTAGGGTTTGAAGTCTCCCCTAACCCCAAGAAACCTCAAGGGACCAACTCTGCAAGTCCACCCATCAGCAGAGGGAGGTGAAGGTCTCCTGTCCTGCCTCTTGGTACTCTGGACATGAGAACACGGGCAGGAGTGGCCCCGTGCCTGCCCTTATGCCTTTTAGCCATAATGGGGATTTTAGATGCTACTTTCAGAATGACTTTCAGTCGCAGCAGCAGGGCTGTTTATGGGTAATGACTGTTGGGGAGCAGCGACACAGGGCTGAGCAGGGCAGCTTGAGAGCGGGCAAGTGCAGGAAGGGAGGCGTCTGTAGGCAAATGACAAATTTCCGTGTTTCAGTAAATGTGGGGCTCTCAACACCTGGGCCTTGGGGCTGTTGTTTCTCCCTGTCCTATGCTTGCTCTTGAGAGTTCTTAGAGTCACAAACCAGCCCAGAAATATCTGATCTTACAGATCATAGCAAAGAGTGGGATTTTTTCCATGATGTAGAGAAGCGACCAAGCCTGCAAGTGCTGTAAATAAAGGCACTTGTTGGCTGCAGGGCTGTGTGAGCTCCGTGCCTGCTCCCCCTGCACATCCAGCAGTGGGTTCTGTGGTCCCAGGTGGGGACTCTCACAGCTGGATCTGCAAAGGGCCACCTGTGCTGGGGGCACAGCAGCACCACGGGGTGTTTCTGCCTTCCCTCCTTCCCCTGCCGCCCTGCAGCCATCCCAACACCCACAGCAGTAAGCACAGCACATCCGATAGCGAAAACCTCCCCCGAGGTCAGCAGCGAGGCACTGGGGCAGCATGAGCACATCAAATAATAACAATAGTAATGATAATAACACATCAGCAAATAATTTCAGACCTCACCAAAGAGCTCTTCAGAACATAGCTGAGATCTGAGGGGACTCAGAGTGCTCCCCCACAGGAGCGTTCCCCCGCAGGAGTGTTCCCCTACAGGAGCGATGCCTTCAGCACAAGGGGACACAACCTTTGGGACGAGGGAGGATGCTGTGGGAAGCTGGCAGAGGTCTAGCTGGGGGAACCCATCCCTGTCATCTATGGGACCAGCATTTCCAACAGGCATCATCATCCCAGATCCTGCACCCCGTTGATTACAGAGTTCCCATGATGTCGGGGTGAGCCTGGAGGGGTGCAGGAGAGTGCAGGAGGATGCAGGAGGGCGGGGGGCTGCCAGTTTCATTGTCCCCGCTGCCACCTCCCCCACCACAATGCCGGGGGGGTCCCACGCAGCCGGGGACAGCCACACCGCTCCCCGGACAGGGAGGAACCCACCGGGCGCCTCCAACACCCCTCATGCCAGCAGCTCAAGCAGGACACCCCGCAAACATCAGCCCCACGCCAGCCCCAACTCCGACGAACCCCGACAACGCGTGCCCTCGGTCCCACGAGAGCCCGACCCCCAGAGAAGCCCAGCCCAAGCCCAGCCCAGCCCCAAATCCCCCGCAGCCGCTACCTCGGCACGGACGGGGCAGCAGCGCGGGGCGCTGCCGGTGCAGCCCATGGAGCCCCGGCGGGACCCGCTCAGCCGCGGGGCGCGGGGCGCGGCATCCCCCGGCGGGCGGCACCGCTCGGGGCCGGCACGGGATGAGCCGCTCCAGCTGCCGGGCAGGGAAAAAAATAATTTAAAAAAAAAAAGTAATAAAAACGTCCGGCAGCTGCTGACAGGCAGCGCCGGGAGAGGGTGCTCTGCACCCCCGAGCTGCGGGCAGGGCCCCCGGCCGCAGCCTGCCCGCCCCCGGGGCTGGCCCTGGGCCCCTCCACCCCGGGGTGTCCCCGCCCTGGGCCGGGGTGCTCCGGAATGCTCCGTCCCAGCGCCCCCTGCACTGGGGATGCTCCGTTGTGGGTGTGGGGTACGCAGAGCAGGACCCCTGCATTGGAGGTGTCCTCTCCTGGGTGAGGAGAAAGGGGAACAGGAGCGCTGCACCAGAGCCAGGCTGGGAGCAGGACTGGCTGCTCAGGGGCTTCCACTGCTGAAGCCACCCCAGCCCCCTTAGGAGTAGGGATGAGAGTGAGAAAGCAGAATCCATCTGGCTTTTGCCATCTCCGCATCAAGTTTCAGCTTTTGTGGGGGTACTTGTGGAAAAGTGATGGGTTTGGGGTGTTACTCCTGGCAGGAGCTCTGCTCTGCGGGTCCTTGTGCTGGCTGGAGGGGGCTTTCAGTGTGATCCATATTCCCTGAGGGACTGCATCCTGACAACCCTTCTCTTGAGCATCCCAAACACCCCAAATGTTGGGGCTGGAGCCAGGATGCCCCTTTCCAGGAGGGAATCCTACACTTTGGAAGTTGGGTCCTGAATGCATAGGGAAATACAGGGATTTGAAAGTGTCCCATCTAAAAAATAATGTGAGGCAAGGTATGTTCCTCCAAACATTTTGATTTTAATAATTTTTTTTTTTTAATTGGCTCTTTATACATTCCTGAATGACCACACATTTTGACCTGAAAACCCATTGGTGCTACCCAGAACTGCTGAAATAGGAGTGTTTGAACCTGGTCACGAGGCTGTGCCTGTATGGAAACATTGCAAGTTTTTTGTCAACAAGTTTCTATTCTGACATTTTCCAAATATCCCCTGGGAGAAGTCCAAGCAGCCTGCGGCTCTGGGGATGCCAACACCTTGGCATTTTGCCTGGGCAGCGAGGGAGTGGAGGTGTCTGGTCGTCCTGTCACGTTCGACTTGGAGGTGTTTTTCTTGCCCTGGTAACCCTGGCACCGGAAAATTGTGAAACACCACTTGGATGGGAGGGTGGGGAAGGCGAGGGGCAGGCCCACATTGCCCCAAGTCACCAGGGGACTGGTGGGACCAGTTGCCTTCGTCCTCTTGGGTGGGTGCTGCTTAACCTGAGTGAAGTTTTGTGAGTCACAGAAGCTTCTGGCATCAGCTCCCACTGCTCAGAAACCACCGAGAGTGTCTCAGTTCTTATCTCTCACAGCACTTCAGAGTGGGGCAAGTCTCCTTCCCTGCATGAGAGTACTTATTTGGGCTGAGTAGATAGTTTGTGGGATAAAAGCAAGGTGCTGGTCTCCACCTCTCCAGGGTTAATTAAAAATCCCGGTCCAGACTTCAGAGAATGAAGGCCTACAGGGGCAAGCACAAAGCACATGCAGATTTCCAGGCTGAATTTGCGTTGCTGGGGCCCAGGCTGCAAAGAGAAGCAACTGTGTGGGCAGCTGATGAGGAGTCTGTCCAGCTGCCAGCACGTCTTGCTGGTGCACAAGGGTCCAGTACTTTGCACATGTGCTTGTGGAAGTTTCAGCTTTTAACTGCGGGGTGCCGAGGGGGTGCCTGGGGATGCCCTTGTTCCACAAATTTGGGCTCCAGGTAGGATTTCTCTTTACAATGATGGAGAAAAAACAGTTTGGTCACTTCAGGCTCATGCATTGAGCCAGCAGGGCAGAGCTGGGGCTTGGGGATGGGTCTGTGCAGCAAGGCCAGCTCAGCAGCCCCATCCCCAGCCTCTGCTGCAGGCTCTGCTGTGACAGCCCTGTGTTTCTAGAAATTGCTGCCTTTTGGGGACACGGCTGCCCAGACCATGTTACAGCCTTTCTTCAGCCTGTGGGTGCACTTGTGAGGCTGCCTGCCAGAAGCCCTGCCCGTGCTACCCCAAACCTCTCTTATCCCAGCTTGATTTTAGCCATTCCTCAGCTTCTCCAGTCTTTCCTGTGGAAACTGCATGGGATATGTGCCTGCCAACAGGTCTTTCACCTCAGCCCTGCTTTATCCTCCTCTGCCCCAATACACTGAAAACTTGCTCCCTTTTCAGGACAGCATTACACAGCCAGGAACTGCTCTGTTCAGCTGCTTTTGAGCACAGAGGGGCTTTCCATGGCATCACAGGGGTAACCAGAGCACCCCAGGGATCTGGGGAGCACAAGGGCCTGGAGGCTGCATGAGGCAGCCTGGAGAAAAAGGAGACTGTGGGAACGAGGGGATTTCTGCCCAGGCAAAGACAGGAAAGCAGAGGTGGTGTTGTGCCACCACCTGAGGCAGCTTCAGCTTGTTTTGAAGTTTGCTCAAATGTCTTTTTTTGGTGTTGTCTTAATCTCTCCCAGGAATGACAGCAGCTGGAGACATCTCCAGGGTTTTGTCTAGAAAAGTGAGACGAGGAGGCTTTATCACATGCTCGGCTGAATTGCCGTAAATGGGATAACAGCTGGAAAGTCGAGTTAATTTGTACCAATGGTCATTTAAAGTGTTTGCCAAAGCTTATGGATAAGAAAAGCATTTGTGCAAACCGTTTAAGTGTCTCTTGTGGCTCTCTCCCTCTGGTTCCAGCTGGTAAGGACTGGGCACAACAGGATGGATACAAGGCAGTGTCAGTGCCAGCCCGGCATGGTCTGTTTGCAGAGTGGTTCTCTGAGTGCAGATGGGGTCATTCTTTCTTTTTTTTTTTTTTTTTTTCTTGTTTGTATATCTTATTTTCAGAAACCTAGTCTGGAAAAAAAAAAAAAAAAAGAGAGAGAGGTGGAGGATATTTTTCTGGAAGGTTTTTGGGTGATGAGCTGGCCTGTGGTGATGCCTGATGGTTCCTGGTAGAGCTGCAGCCGGAGCAGGGACAGACGGTCGTGGTTACACCCTTCGGCCCTGCTCATCAATTGCAGTCTGTTTGCTTTTGTAAATGGGAGGTAATGAAGTGCTGGCTGCATTTCTTCAATGCAAATCCGAGGTGTTTAGCCAGGTCTGCTGAGACCTCGTGACTCAATTTTGCATGGGTGAGATAGCTGAAAAAAACTGAATTGGAGAAGTTCTCACATGTGTTGGGGCCCAAAAAAAGTCACAGGCTCTTTTACTGGGGATTTAGGTCACACATGATTCTGCCTTGAGGTAGTGCAACGATTTCAAGTCATTCCTGTCCCTACCTGTGCTTTTCCAAGCAAAAAGATGTGGGTTAACCTGTTCTTGCAGTCTTTTATTCTCTTTTTTCCCCCATGGCAAAATGAAGTGGAAAAGGATGGGAATAGGGAAGTGAAACCTTCAGTCACCGTGGCTGTGAGAAGCAGAAAAGCATTCGATGCCAGGGCTGGAGGTGAGGGGCTCTGCTCCCCTCCCAGCCCCAAACACAATGCTCCTTCTGTGGCCGTGCCTCTCCCCATGCATCCCTATCCTTATCCCTGTCCCCCGGCTGCTCCAGGGCCTCAAAGTGAAAGCTAATCCCAGGGGATAACTTTCCGCTCCGCTCCCGCCTGGGAGGGACGGGCTATTTATTCCTCCCGCTTAAGCCCCAGCCGTGGATCAGCGGCGCAGTTGTCGCTGGGGGCTCGGGGTGGGCAGCAGCACCCACCATGTCCCCTGCCTGCTCCCACACACTGCGCCCGGCCTCGCTGCTAAATAAGGACGAAAGGATAAAAATAGCGCTGAGACGGGGGTTTGGACAAGGCAGGCAACCCTTCCCAGGGCTGGAGCAATACGGGGAGGCCAAGCAGTGTCTGTGTGAAAGGGAGAGCAGAGCTGATTGTGGGGAAGGGTCTCACAAGGGCTCCTGGCCGTGCTGTGGCAGGGGGGAAGGTGTGAGACCTGCCACACTTGTGTCCTGTGTGCTCAGTTGGCTCAGTCCCCTCTGCAGGATAAAAGCATCTGTCCACCAAAATATATGGGAAAATCTGTGCTACTGTGCCACTCCTGATGGAGGGGTACCCGTGTGACCATTCCAGCATGATGGGGGTGCCCGGGGCAGCTCTGTCAGGAAAATGATCCCCAAAACAGGGGGTAGGAATGGAGGAATGGAGGAGGGGATGATAAATCCAGCATTTTACATAGACGAGTGGTAGGGGCGTTGTGGCAAACTGCCCAGTCAGGGGCTACCCGATGCCAGTGTCCCCTCCCCCCTGCTCATACACATCGGGTGTGAGGGTCTCAAATATCCGAAATATCTGAAGTATCTCTGCTCTTCAGCTGCCACTGCGCTGTGCCGAGCGCGGGGGGAGCCTGGGGGTCCCGGGTGCTGAGCGGAGGGTACCGACCCCCGCACAGCCGGGGCACCCCCGAGCGGGATGTGAGGAGAGCCGCAGCCCCGGCTGGTGGGGAGCCGGTCGTGCTCCCCCATCGGAGCAGCTGATGTGTGTGCCCCGCGGTGCTGGGCGCAGCTCCCGCCCCCCCGCACCAAGCGCCGGCTCTGGGAGCTTGGGAAAGCGGCGCTTCCCGTCCCAGCATCCCTGCGAGTCCAGTCCTGCGCTTGGCAGCGAAACCGCGGAAGGGAGGGGAAAATAAAGAAAGCAAGAGGGGAAGGGAAAATGTGAGCGTCCTCGGGGGAGGGAGGGGAATCGGGCGGTGGGCCGGGCTCGCAGACAGGGCTCATCCCCTCCGCTCGGGGCTTCATAGCCCGGCCGCTGCCAGCCCGGTCCCG